GGGTCCGGGCTGGGGATTCGAACCCGCCACCTTAGGTGTACGTGGCTGGCGCCTTAGCCGGTTGAGCTATAGGCGCCAAGCGCCAGAGGTGATTCTTAAATAAGTAACGGAACAACAGACAGCCTTACGTTCCAAGGCGCGCCCACATCTGCACTCTGGGTTTCAGATCCCCCAAGCAGCTCTTCTCCATAAAGTGACCACCTGTCAGAGCCTCAGCAGATGTCTAGAGACAATAAATAGCCTTCTTCACTTCCAAGTCCCTCAGCCCTGGTGCCACCAAATGATACATCATTTTCAGCCCAAGACAAGACAAGAAATTCCAAAACAGTTCCCGGGTTCCCGCGCATAATTCAAGCCCCTCCCTCGACTCCCTCAGCGGTTAAGCTTCCCTGGTCACTTACCTCCCCCGAGGGTGGAGCCCCCCGCGTGACCTCCTCGTAGGCGCCCACCTGCTCCCAGGTGGCCAGGAAGGCGTGGGTGGGAGCGAAGTGCGCAGCGGAGGTCGGGAAGCCCGTGCGCACGTAGCGGGCAGCCAGGCTCAGCACCGCTGGGGAGGTGTCCTCGCGGTACAGGACCCGGCCCCTGCCTTGGCTCGTGTCGATATCGGCCAGGAAAGGGGCGATGGCCGGGAAGTCTGTGGGAAAATCGTCATCCACATACTGAGTCTCCCTGGGGAAGTCCTGGGTGGAGATGATGCCATTGGTGCCCACCTGGGAGAGAGAGAGAAAGGGGAAGTCAAGTCACTCAAGCCCGGGGTGGGACACTCTGTCGCGACCGAAAGGCAAGGAATTGTCCAGGGCAAGCAGCTTCCCCTCTCTAACCGCTCAGGCGGCCAACACAGTTTCAACGACGGTTCCATCCCCCAGAAGTGCCCCCCGCGCAGCGCAGCGGGCGCCCCCAAACGCTTCGCCCATCTTCTCACTTCCCACACAACCCAGGCGCCCCACGTCCCTGGGGCAAAAGCCTCCCAGTCCGAGAAGGGGTCACCCCATCTCTGCAGACACTCACAGCCTCCTCGTGGTCTTAACTGTAAACCCCAGGGCCCATGGGCAAGGCCACCTTCACCGCCCCGGACGCGGACGTGGCCACGAACAGCCCTGCTCTGCCCCTTGAGGTAACCCTGCTTCCCACAGCTGTCGGTTGGGCAGCAGCATCTCCTGGCTCGGTCCCACCCGGGGCGCTGGGCAACCACTGGCCGTAGAGACTGTCCCCCTCCAAGCGCCGGGTTTCCGTGCGCTTAACCCCGCGTTACCCCCGGGAGAAGCTGGAGGAGCGCGAGCGGCGCCCCAGGAGGGGCCGAGCTTACGTAGAGGCTGCTGAACTGGGCTTCGAAAAAGCGCAGGGGAATCGCCAGCTCCACCGCGGCTGAGCTCTCATCGTCGCCTTCCTGCAGCAGCCGGTCCCCCCACAGCTCCCCATGGGGGAAGAGCTCGCCCGGGCGCAGTGCCGCGGCCCGCGACAGCAGCAGCAGCAACAGCAGCGCCGGCCGCGCAGCCGCCCGGTCCCCCCGCATGATCGCTCGGCCCGTGGGCTGCCCCGCCGCCCCGCGCGTCCCGGCCCCCCCGCCCGCCCGCCCGCCAGCCGTGCCGCCCGGCCTCGAACCTGGAGCCCCTGGGCGCCCGGGCGGGAGGGACTCCGGGCCCGCCCCGCGCGCGGGTTGGCTGCCGCCCTGGGCCGCTGACCAATCGCCGGCTCTGAGAAAGTTCGGCAGCTGCCACCACATCTGGTTCTCGTTAAGTTTGCAGGGGCAGCGGTCGCGGGAGCGGCGGGGCCGGCGAGGTGAACGCCGGTGGCCGCTCCGCGTCGCTCCTCCTCCGCTCCGCTCCGCTCCGAGCACTCCCAGGGCCGCCTCCTTAGCCCGCTGCCCCGCGTCCCCGCACGCCCGGGGCTCACTCCCCGAGGCCAAATGGCCCACGAGGTCCGAGGGCAGCGGCGTGGCAGGACACGACCTCGGCGCGCAGGGGACCCGGACAAGCCGGGGGAGCGGGGCGGGGAGGGGCAGTTACGGGGTGAGGTCTGCACCCTGCCCTGGGGACCCGGGCAACCTTGGTCCCCAAGGCCAAGCAAAGAGACGTTGTCGCAGTCTCCGCGGCCACTTTGCTCCCCGCAGGGACGCCCTGACAAGAAGCGCGCCTTTGTGCGATGCTGCAGAGACAAAGTTCGTCCCGTCCCGAGGGCTGGCCGCAGGGGAGGACTGGGCCACCCTCCGGAAATACCTTCCCCGGGGGAAACCGCGGCTGGGGAGATCATGAAACGCGTCTGTGTGTGAACCGCTCAGGCGCAGGCTCAGCCGTTCCATTAGAGCACCGAGCAGACCCGGCCAGGCGCCGCGGCCGGGGTGGGGGCCTGGCCTCTCCTGCCCTCTGCCCGCGCCGTCCGAGGGCCTGGGGTGGTAACCCGAGCTGCTCAGTTCGCAGGGCTGGAGACCGCACATCCTCCAAACCAGCTGCGGGAGGGGGCCCCTACCGCCATAAATGTCCCTCTGCGAAGCCTCGGGAGCCGGGCGAGATTTTATTACCATTTTTTTTATCAAGAGCTTGAAATTTCCCAGATAGTCTGTTTTCTCTCTCAGGCCCCCCATAGGGTCCTTAGAAGCAATGGTATTTAAAAGAAAGGAAAAAAGCAAACCCTTGAAAATGCCTTAAGGGACTCTGGAAAGACAGACTTCTCTTTGTAGGTATTTACTCCAAATCCTATGGGCTCAGGCAGGAAGGGCCCAACGCTGGAAACCTTGAAGAAACCAGCCTGGGAGACTCCAAGCACAGACACAAAATGGAAAGCTGGCCCAAAGCTGTTTGCTTCCTGGGAAGGTGGAGGGTTGTAGATTTGCTGGTCCAAAAATGTATGTATGCCTGCACGTGAATTTTCCCATTCTTTCTGGGGTTAGGTATTTTCATTTTACTGAGGATGAAATGAAGGCTCAAACACATTAGGTGACTTGATTTGTCACCTAAAGTTACTCCCTGATATAAACACCTTCCCTGGCTCCCGGCAGTTTTTCTTAATTCAGCCAATAATAAGGGTAACGTACATTTGTTGAATGGCACTAAGCCAGAAGCTGCTGGGGCCGCAAAGTCTAGGACCATCTCCAGTGAGCTCCATTTCCTGGTGTGGCCGCCCAGTCATAGTCCCTACCCAGAGTACCAAGGTACCAGTGACTTCTAATAAACAGAGTGGCAGTAGTGAAAAGAAGTCACGTCAGTAGCATCAGCTGAATAAGGTTGTGGCTTCTGTCTTGCTAGCAGACTCTTGTCCTTGACTGTGATGAAGCAAGCTGATGTGTGGACCAGGCTAACCTTGCAAGGACCTGAGGCAGCCTCTGTCCCAGAGCCAGCAAGAACTGAATTCCAGCAACCATGGAAGCAAGCTTGGGAAGCAGAACCTTTCCCTGCTGAGTCTCAAGATGACACCTCAGCCATGGCAGACACTTTGATTGCAGTCTCAGTGACCCTGATACAAAGGACCAAGCTAAGCTGGGGCCCAGGACTGCAGCCCCACAGAAACTCGGGAGTTATAATCTGTGTTATTTTAAGCCATTATATTTTGGGAAAATTTGTTATGCAGCAAAAGATAACTAATACAGCCAGATTCAGTTTTAAGAAAACTAAGGCTTAGAGGGATAAAAAAAATCAGTTATTATCACATGGCTGTAAGTACCAGAGCTGAGATTTGATCCCAGTTTTTTCTGAGCTCTAAATCTGTACTCCTAACCACGAAATAATATTGTGGCAAGGCCCATTGGAAAGTAGCTTGAGCCGACATCTCTAACTTCGTCTTCTTCCACAGCCACCTTCCAAGTGACACAGTAGTCTGTGCAACAATCCATTTAGTGATTTAAAATGTCCTCACACACAAGTCCCTTTGCCTCCGGTGAGTTTCCCAGTCAAGCTCAAGCCAACGCCTACTCCCCCTGCAAGACTTGAACCCAAACCCTCCTCCTTCAAGAAGCTTTCTGGAAACCACCCCATCTCCTTGCTTCCCTGAGTCCTATGAACACTATGGTCGTATTGTATACATTGACATTTTTCTCCCATATGACCCCACATGTGCCCCTCAACACCACCATGGCATCTTGAGGGCAGGGATTTGGTCTTATTTGGTGCCCGCCACAAGGCCTGCCTGCCTCCTTAGGAGTTTAAGAAACGTTTGTTCAATGAGCAAAGACGGGCAGGCCAGCCGGAGACTGGGACCCATGTCTGCTGGCTCAAAATGCAACATTCTTTCCCTCACACCACCTTTCCTGCTAATCTGACCTGACTCCTGTAATCCTCTTTTCCAGGCTGCCTAGCAACTCACCTACCACTGCTCTCCAGGTTTTGTCATTCTTTCATTCATTCATCCACTCAGCAACTCCTTCCGGCAAGTTGATCATGACAGATGCAACTCTGCCAGAAATAAAGGAGTACAAGATGTGGCCCCTGACCTTAAGGAGCTTATGATCTGGTTGGGGAAACAAAAGCATAAACACGAAAAGAGAAGCAGCGCTACAGTGCAGCCTGTGCTCAAGAGCACAACCAGCAGTAAGAGCCCTTGAACCAAAAGGGTGCCACCAGTTTTGAATGTGATGCTATCTGAGTTCAAAGGAATAGATCCAAGGACCTAAAATAACCAGTCTTGTTTCCCTGTCTGCATAAGGTGGCTGAATTCCCCTGGAAATATGAGGCTTTGGACAGCTGTGCTTAAGTAGGCGTTCCTTTGAGAGACTTTATTCTAATATTTTGAAAAGACTCTATGGCACCAAGAGTAGTTTCTCCCTTAAAATGTCACTTGTGTCTTGGGGAAAAGAAAAAAAATCTGTCATAGCTATTTCATTGGTCAAAGTAAATACTGAAGAAATACTTCTCTTGTATCCAGAGCTCCCTTTGCAAGAGTAGAATTTCCATGACCTGCCAGGCTGGCTGAGGAGGCAGAGGCCCCTTGCAGGCTGGAGGTCAGAGAGGACTTCTTCTGTACCAGTTTTTAGCCCTTTGGGTGGGGACCTCACAGGAGATCTGAGCATTACTCAAAAAGTAAAATTATTTAGTTGCAAGACTTGGGATGGTACCAGATGCTTTGCCAATAGACCTCAGCCAGAGTCTCCACAGTTATATATTTTGTGGTTCTATTTGTTATAAATACCAAGACTTCAAGAATGATGGCACTCCCTGTTATTTTAGTCATGAGAATGAATGCACATTTGCTCCTCGGTGTGGCAAATAGATGTTGGCATTCAAGAGCAAGGCGTGTGTGTGGCAATGACTGCTGTGTGTCTATGTTTGTATTGGAGGGAGTCTTGGCAGAAAGCACCTCAGTTCTTGTGGCCCAGGGATTCTTTGCATTGCTTTACTATCCACTGAATTCCAGGGTTGAGCAAATGAGCATGTCTTCACAGACTCAGGCTTCACTAAAATTGTTGGGGGTCAAGGGTCTCAGTTCCCTGAACTCAGCTGACCTGGTTTGATTACCCAGCTGAGCCAGAAAGTTTGACTGAGGCATGGTGGAAATTGAAAGCAGAAAGGAATGAAAACTGAGAATAAAACTGGCATTTAACTGGCAATAAAACAGGCAGCATGAACAGAAAGCAAAGTAACCCGCGCAAGTCTCAGGATGACAAAGAGAAGTTTTATTTAGGAAGAACAGAGAGTCTAGAGCCCTTCCAGAGAGCGTTGGAAGGGGATCTCTCCCATAATGGAGAAGAGGTGAGAGACCCACACAGGGCAGTGTGGGGTGTAAAGGCCTCTTCCTCTCAGGGTGACATGGGCTGTACCTCTCAGTGGTCTTCCTGCACCCCAGGCGTTACCCCCTTTCCTATTGGTCATTGATTACCTAGGTTACCTCATGCCCGGGTTCTTGGGGGGAGAACTATTGAGTGGGGAATGACCCTATGGACCCTCAGATTTCCTGGTTCTGACGGCCAGGCTTCCCTCCCTCCCACTCCCTCAAGCTGCTTTCTTTGTGTCTCTTCTCTGAATTAGGCTTAAGAAAAAACAGGGAGTGAGGAAGTATTCGAATTAAAATATGCAATGCAAGCCTTTCGATCTGCTATGAATCACTGCCAACGCAGTGCTGCTGGTGGGGCAGACGCGACTGGATGCCTTCCCGGCAGCGTTCCCCTCTCACTCCTTGGTTTCAGAAACCTCATGTCCTCACTTCAGGATGCAATAAGCCCGGGAGAGGTGCACTCCTCCCTCAGCCCTGGCGATGGACTAAGATTGCTGGAAGCCAATCGGGATTCCGCCTCTCTCCCTACAGAGATGTCTCCAGAATCTTCCACCCAAGCCCACATCCTGTTGGCCCTTTCCCCTCTGCCTCTAAATACATCCCAGTCTTGCCCGTAAAAATCCTACTTCCTTATTACCTTGTTCTTACTTCTTTTACTTTCAAGGAATTCACTCTTGCCACCTGCTTCACTCCGCGTCCGTCACTGAGCTGCCTGGGCAGAGATCAGCAGTGAAACCCTACGGAACACGCCACCAGCCCAACAGGCGCTTTCAAGTCTTTGTCTTCCAGAGCTTTGTGGCATTTCTGGTCCTC